CGACAAGAAAAAATAATCTTGATTCAATCAGATTTTAGCTTAAATCAAGAACCAAGCCTCTTAATTTGAGCAGATTTCCTTTTGATTTAGGCTTAAATCTGATTGAATCAGGAGTCCTTTTTCTTGTCAATGTTTTCAAGAGCCTGGACTCTAGATCCAATGTGTTTTTTTCCCAGTGATTACTGATTTCAAGTAAAACTAGCCGTAATGCACATTCTGTGAAAAATTCGCTTCCAAATTCCAATTTTTAAGCATCCAGAAGTCAGTTTGAACTTCCTCTCCGTCATTAGCATCCATGTAATTTCGAAACTTCAAACACGCAGTTCTCGAAATAGCGAAAATTGCCTTTACGTGCCTTGCTCTCCAAGCCCTTCAATTGATCTGATAAAAAAAATAAATACTCGAAGCAATGGTTGAAGATACCGACAGATACGAAATGAATATACGATAAACTAGGTATGAATACCCAAGGGTATTTATGAATTATGCTGAAAGATACCGAAAGATATGTATGAAAAAATAAGAATCTGTCGAATGGTACAGACATTTTTTCTGTGTTTGTGCGAACTCGTTTATAGAACGGTTGACGGCATCCTCGACGTAATCGAATGAATTAACACCTTATTGGTTGAACTCTGCGGTCGACGTGTTGTGAAATTGTAACGCAGGTGTTCAAGCATAAAACTCTGCATCATTGTTGCGCCGTAAGTTTTCCGCTTGTGTCTCTCTCCATTCGTGATACCATCTGAATCCCCCCAGGGCAACCATATCGATGGATTTCTTGGTGGTAGGCAACAACCCCCTCCCATCCAAAATCACCACCATTTTCCCGGATCCCAATGGTCACCATAGTTTGGCAATAGTTTGGCGTGCTTTGCGATTTATCGATTGATCTGCCATTTAATCTTAGAGAAAAGGATCGATAAACAGGGTGTTCCCAAGGAACATTTTAATAATCGATTCATGACCACAGTTTCAAATGGAAAAATATGATAATCGAGCATTGACGCCACGCCACTGGTACTCAGTAACCATATGATCTCTACAGGGTGATCCAAAAGTCCCGCATCACTAGCACCAGACACCACCCCCGTGAATTTTGAACAAATTGAGTTGGAGACTTGAAATTTTATGAGTACTTCCAGGTCAAAGGCAACGACTCTTGGCAATCCTGGAATTTTTAAAAGGACCACCTTGAGAGGGCTCAAGAACTGTAAGGGTTACAGGAGTGGTGTTGGTCTTTCGGATGACCCTGTATGAAGATTCTCGACGGTCGCGTCTTGAGAAAAGCGTCCGTCTCCGGGACAAAGGTTCTCGGATCGTGGCGGTGACTCGGCGGCGGCTGTTTGCTCGGGATTAATGAGCCCAGCCCAGGCTGGAAATTTCCGTGTTAACCCAAATAATTGTATTATTTATGAAATGCGCGACCCGAGCGAGGAGCTAAGCTAATATCTCGTCCCTCTTCTCAAGAACGGAAAGTAAAGGCTCCGACGACTTTGCCACGTCTGCCGGCCAAGTCCCCGCTTTTCCTCGGGGAGCTCCGGAGCTTTGGAGCTTTGGCTCGGGTCTCGGCAGCCGTGTCGAGTCGCCGGGGGAGGGAGCGGACGGGGTGGCCAGTGTAAACATTAACTCGCACTCACATTACGACCTCAGCCCCGAGCCCATTGCCAAATTGCCGTCAAAGTCTCTTTTTTTATACTTTTTTCTTCATATCACTGGAAAAAAACTCATTGGATCTTGAGTCCAGACTCTTGAAAACATTGACAAGGAAAAGACACTCTTGATTCAATCAGCTTTTTGCTTAAATCAAAGGGAAATCCGCTCAAATTAAGAGGCTTGGTTCTTGATTTAAGCAAAAATCCGATTGAATCAAGAGTATTTTTTCTTGTCGATGTTTTTAAGAGTCTGGACTCTAGATCCAATGTGTTTTTTTTCCAGTGCTGCCTAACCATGATTCGTGCATATTCTTGGGTATCCTGCCTTTCTTTCCCCGGGGCGGATTTTATTCTTTGGAGCTGCTGAAATTGATCGCAACTTGACTCTAGATCCAATGTGTTTTTTTTTCCGATGTAGTATCAAAGTTCCTGAAGAAAGTTGATTGCGGAACAGCAATTCCCGGTACCGCGAACGTTCCCAGCGGGCTGACTATTGGAATTTATAGACGAAGCTTTAGACAAAGAAGAAAAAGGGATACGGAGGGATCCTAATGGTGTAACCCGATGTTTACAATGGACAAGGAAGGTAGATAATAGACTAACTAACGGCAACCCTCGAGAGACCCTACCGTTAGTCCATCATCTTCTCCCTTAGTCCATAGGAACTAACCATTTCAACCAATAGGATCGCTCCATACTCCCTATGTTTTCTTTGTCTATCGCTTTGTCTATCAATGTCAACAAGTCGGAACTTTGCGCGAAAGTTAAGTTCCGTGAACCTTTCTCTATGTGAACAAGGCCTTTCATTTATAAGAAATGAATGAAAAAGTTACGAAAGAACAAACTGACCGCACTGTGTTTGACGCAATGCGTGAAGATTTCCTACAGTCAAATAGGCGCTGTGCTTTTCACACCGACCGCTTCTGAACGCACTGTATTTGACGCAACGCGTGAAGTATTCATGTAATATTGTAGGCGCTATGCGCTTCACGCCGACCGCTGCAGCTGACCGCGCTGTGTTTGACGCAATGCGTGAAGTATTCATGCAGTCTTGTAGGCGCTATGCGTGCCATGCCGACCGCCGTGCCGCGCCGCTCCGTTCCAGGTTAAATTGCGTGTTTGGTTTCTCTCTTAACTCGACTAATTAAAGGTATTGTCTATTGTATCACCGAAAGACAACAAAATTAGAAATTACTATACTTTTACTCTCAGGAAATGAGAGATTTTGTCGCCTTTTCTCGTTTGTAATTTATTTTCTGAATCCGATTTTTTCTCTCTTCTTTTGATACCTACATTAAAAAAATTGCAAAATTTGCCGCCCCCTAAATTTTCCGCCATTGGCCGCGGCCCATGTGGCCATCCCCTGAATCCGGCCCTGGTTAATACGGGAAATGAAACATAAAATAACCCTAGCCTTTTGTTTACAATTTCAAGAGAAAATGCTAGCCAGCTTTTTTAGAAGAAATTCAGTGAAAAACGAGTGGTTGCAAGCGAAGAATGTTCGTTCCCATCTAACCATTGTTTTCTGCGCTAAATTTACCGCAAACTGTACCAAAATTAACACAAAATTTTTGTTGATTTGTGTTTCACCTCCTACATTAACCAAAAGTAACACAAGAACACAAACATTCTTATCAGTGTAGAATTGAAGGGTGGTCAGTGATGTAATTATTCAAACGAAGTTAACACTCACGTAAGTTTGAACTTTGTTTAATTAAATTTTAGCACCGGCTACCCTACATTTCTTAATTAATTAGCGTCGGAGTGGTATATTTCATGCGAGATGCATGTTGCTCGCGATCGGGCGCGTTAGAACCGAGTGAAAAATTGTTGAAATTTGTCAACCGAGGCCGGAGAGTCGGAAAAGGAAAAGGATCTTTGGCGTCCTCCTGACGGAGTTCGTGTCCCAAGCGATTCCTATTAAATTTGTCGTATCCTTGCGCCTTGCCACCCCCTCCCTCNTTCCGCCCGCCTTCTCAAGTCCGTTCGTTTCAGCGCGTGCATCCTCGTCGTAGCACCTCGCACACCCCCAGAGAGACCCGGTTCTTTTCTTCCTTGCAAACCGGAAATTTGAAATGGACTCCTTCAGAAACCTCGGGTCTTTCCTAGGGGTTGGTTTTTCGCGGTGAAGGAGGTCAGAGTGTAGAATTGCAGGGTTGACCTTATTAAAATGGACCCTTCATACGCGCCAATTATTGTGTGCCAACGGCTAATACTGCCGTGCTAAGGAAGAACGCCGTATGAACAGTCAAGAGTTGCCGAATTTCCTGCTTGTAAAATGTTTGTTTTTGAGGAAAGTCATGAATATTTTTCCTTGAAATTTTCAGGAACTAGAACAAAATACGAACAAACTTCTCTGAAAAATTGAAAGAAAAATATTCATAAGTATACCAGGAAATTCTTGTTTTATCAAAGAAAAGGCAACGCCTGGAGGTCCTTGTGACGTTTTTCATTAGCGCGACAGAATTCTGCCGAGATGAGAATAACGACCATATTAGTAATTGGACGTTACCAAATTTGTCTCGAAATGGTGGACATTTTCCGACCGATCGTGTTTTTTTCTTTTCATCTCTCCGTAGAATTTAATTTGAAAAATACTAAGTGTTGGAAAAATTCAGGGACAAGTAATTGCATTTATATATAATTGAGGGAAATATGGCAACGCTCGAATGTTCATACGGCGTTTGCGTTTTTCCTCAGAGCGTAGCAGTCTTACACCATTGAAGGCGTCGTGCTATTGCTTCTTTAATGAAACGACATTTACCAAAATTTGAAACTTATTGCCTTTTTGCGCGGCAACTGGGATGGAATATTCGGTGAAAAAAATGAGATTTAGGAATTTCGCGCTGTAATGTCTGTTAGCACAGTTCGATCGAGTTTTTTGAAGATTGACATTATTTCCGTCAAAGCTGAGTCGGCTCGTGAAATCTTGATGAAATTGTATGTCAAAATTTCATGTTCAGTTGTTCACACTCCCTCAGCCAATTTGTCTCGGAGAGTAGTTGTGTCATCAAAATTGTGTGATGCATGCTTGATTGACACACATTTTTCAAGATGCAGGTTTCAATCCGGATGAATAAAAGCATTGAACAGAGCAGTTTATTTTCCGTAGGAAAATACTCTGAGAACGATTAGGTAATTCGGTCTTGAAAAGCGAGTATCTCGATTTCCAATAATTACCTTATTTACTTTAATAGCGTATGATTGCAGAGCCTTCAAAATTCTGCGATGCAACAAGTTTGAATTCAAAAGATTTGTAATGATCCAATCATTTTAACTCATTGTCCAGCGCTTTTCGCCTCCTTTTTTTGGGTCTAATCTTTATTTTTTCTCTTTTTGTTGCAGCGATGTTGACGTGGATCATCACGGATTAACATATCATACAAATTCGGGTAGTTCCTCTAATTCCAGTCTTTCTACAAGGTATGTATATTTTTCTCCGGATCTTCAGACAAATACGATTACGGCTTGGTTTTACTGCAAGTAAATAAATTTTTGAACGTTTCACATCTCGTACAGATATCATAGATAAAAAATGAATGAAAAAAAATTAAGCAAAAGAAACTTTTCTATTCATTACTAAAGCCTCAGATCTTAAAGTTTTTATTATTGGTACCAAACACCGCTTTCCAGAGTATTGTAGAAAAAGGTCCCTATACAGTTCTAATTTCTTTCACATACCATCAAAGGAAGTAAGTATTAAACACAGAAAAAAAAAGAAGAAGAAAAACAAACTTCTCGGAACTCCTCAGTTCCTGTTTAATTATGAGCTTTTAACAGTTTATGAAAAATTTCAAGAAAAATTTTTCCTCATTCAGATTTTTTTTCCGATTAATTTGAATGCATTTTAAAATAATGAACTACAATTTCTGGATCAGTTTAGGAAAAATGCATGTTCCATTAGTTTTCCCATGCCTATGCGTGTTTTTATGGATAAGCCAAAAATTTCAGTTACCAATTGCAAGATGTAGTCCAATTTGCAAGTGCATTTTTTTAGATTGTGAAGTCAATAGTGCCAAAATTGTTATATTTACCTCTCTTCTACAATACCACATTAATATCATTTTACGGATTCCAAAGATTAAACCTATTATTTCACTCTTCGTTCAATTTTTGCAGTAGAGGTAGGATCAGTCATGATTTTGTTCAAATTCTTTACGTTGTAATTATCGTTCTACCATGTGTAAGAATACCTCATTAATCAGTTTTCCTTGCAATTTCAGGAGTTTGGAAAGTCCTAGCAATTCTTTAGAAACTGTAACCGGTGGCGGTGTGAAGAGTGACTCTGTAAATAATAGCACTTCAGCGCCGCAGTGGGACAGCGATGCTGAAGCAGAGCCCGATCCTCCCGACTGGACCAAAAATGTACCTGAAGATGTTCTTCGAAGCCTTTCACCTCGAGAGAAAAAAAGACAAGAAGTTATTAATGGTAATCATTCACATCTATTTTTGCCTTTCAGTAAAAGAAATGTTTCAGAAAACTTTGACAAGAAAGCTTGTGGCCTATTGTAAATACAAATTCTGGTTTCAGCCTGGCTCAAGGCTGAGTAGAATGGGCCAACCAAGATTCCTAAGATATAATTTTAGCCTAGCTAAAGGATAGTAAGTAGGAATCTTAAATTGCCTGAAATTTGTTCTGTCCGGCATAAACTTAGCATTTTACAAAGGTATAAAAATGTCCCAGCAGAAAGCTATGTTAGGGTGCCAGCAGCCTGATTGTTGAAATTTTTTGTTTGTCGGGACAACATAGATGACATAGGTTAAAAGGCGGAGCGTGATTGGTCGGCTATGTCTTGTCGCTGCTTTGTCGTGCCTTTGTCAGGTGGAATGGACGACATACTGTCGGAAACTTATGAGGTGCCGTTAGCTTGTCGTGAGTTCAACCTGACACGACAAAGTAGCGATAAGACATAGCCGACCAATCACGCTCTGCCCTTTAACCTATGTCATCTATGTCGTCCCGACAAACAAAAAATTTCAACAATCAGACTGCAGGTCAGAGTGGGCTTAAAAACTATGCCCTTGTGAAATGAACTTTTGGATGAAGCAATTTGGAATCAATATGATTGTTTTATTTTTTTAAAGTAGAACTAACCAACATTTTAAATTGGAATTTTCCGTGAATTTGTGTCACTCACTCTTAAAAATACTGTGTAAAATTGCGAGTAAGTATTTTTAAATTTATTAATTTTCATTAAATAAAATAAATAATAATCTGAGATTTTTATAAATTGAAATATGTATTTTTTGCACTTACCCATTAATACTCAATGTGAGGGTAAATAAAAGTTTAATGATAGTACTGCGGAGCTGTCGTAAAAACGATTGTTGAATTTTTATGAACGATGTATTGTTTTCGCGGTAGAAACACTGAAAGTTCAAGAAAAAAACATTGATGTTCTCCACCTTTGGTTTCCTAAATTCTTCACTAAGATATTCAGTTTTGTTTTTATCTTCCTATAACTTGGAAGGAGAAAAACCAAGGTTTATTTGTAAATTTTAAAATAATTAGAGAAAAGGCTTTACAGATACAGCATTTGTCATCCTGTCATGTTACTTTTTTTCTCATGGAGTAGGAAAATAATATCTTTAATCTAACGTGCTCTGAATCTTTGTTCTCAGAACTATTTCATACAGAAAGGTCACATGTTCGTGGCTTGAAAGTATTAGACCAAATATTCTATCAACCAATGAAGGAAGCTGCCGTATTACCTCAGGACCAAATCCAGCTTTTGTTTTCCAATTTAGAAGAAATGTTAGTCTATCACTCCGGGTTTAATAATTGTATGAAGGCGAAACGACGGGAAACCCCTGTAGTTGGTGATATTGGTGATCTCCTTTTAGATATGGTAAGTATTTTTATCTGTTTGGGTAAATATGAGAATCCCTGCCAAAAAAGACAAATGGTATATTTGTATTTTATGCAAATGCAAGTGTTCGATGGCTACCGTCTATATCAGTTGCAGTTTCTCAAAAGTTCTGCTTTTTGTCTCCAACGGCAAATGCCAACTCACATACATGAAAGCCGCTTTCACACTTAAGACCTGAATACAAACTGAATCCATTGTATTTTCACCAGAAATTTTTCTAACAGAAGAGAACACATAGAAAGAAGCCTGCAAACCAGTGGAGGCTTTCTGGCTCTCAGTATATTTTGATGATAAAGGATTATCATAGGTTTTCATAAATTTCATCGTCAGGTCAATTCAGAAATTGGGTGATTCAGTCAAGTAGGGAGCAAGATATTCGTGATTGAGCAGAATATGAAGAAGGAACAGAGAGGCTAAATTAGGAGGAAAAGTGGGTTAGAAGAGGATTGAGAAGAATATGTGATGTAATTTCCTTTTAAGGGTGCAGACAAGCTTCTTTTTGCACTGGTAAAATCTGAAGAGTCATGGAGATGTTGAAAGAGAATCAGCAAATACGGGAAAGGAAAGGGTATGATCTTTGTACCAGCTGAAGCAATAATCTGTGTGTAAGGGCCGGGCAAGAACACCAAAAAATTGAAAGAGAAGATGTGTATTTCTTCTGCTGTGAATAAGAGCGTTAGACAGTAATGCTCATGTTCAACTGCAAATATCCTAGCTCCTGTGTGACCAATGCACCTAATTTTTTGGTTGTGGCCTGGTAATGGATTTTATAATAAACTATTAAATTTTCATCAAAATAAAACGTGCAATGTTCCTAGATAGAAGTGCATCAACTAGTTTACAATTAAAAACGAAGCATGCAAGAAAGTCTGCAATGTTACAGCTCGAGATATGTAGGCTCTAGGTTTAGCACTCATCATATTGATTTATATTGATTTTACTCATTTATTTTTTAGCATAATATATAGTCCCCTTGATGTTAAAACAGACCATGGTGAGTTCTTTTGACCAAGAGGATCAAACCTATGATTTTAATAGACTGTCAATGAAATCGCATGCTCACCAGATACATTTCTTGGTAGGAAATTCTACTTATTTGTTTCTTGTCATTTAACTAAAACTAATATTGATTTATTTTTCTATTTCAGTTTGATGGTGCAGAAGGTGAAAACTTTCAAAAAGCAGCAGCAGTTTTCTGTTCTAGACAACAAATAGCATTAGAAGCTTTGAAAGAGCGAAGAAGGAAAGATCCAAAATTAAATAGTTTTTTAACGGATGCCGAAGGCAATCCAATGTGTAGGAGATTACAACTTAAAGATATTATTCCTACTGGAATGTTAAGGTTAGCATCGTTGTGATTCAATTACAAAAAAAATTTCTTTTTACACTTTTAAGTCTCATTAAGTCATTTGAACTCTTCCTGCGAGGAAATAGAATATTATTCTATTTTTTAAGTACAGTACTCTCTCGCTATAATGAATTGGCAAGGGACCGAGCGATTCCTTCGAGATAAAATAAAGATTTTTGTTATAATGAGTGTCGTTATAGCGAGAAAATCGTTCAAGGGATCGGGCGATCCCTTCGCATAAGAGAAATTTTCGTTATAACGAGTGTTGTTATAGCGAGAGAATACTGTATTTGAAAATCTCTAAATTAAAAAGAAAAAAAAAGTTCTGCAAACATATGGCAGTTTGAAGCATGTGTTATTAAATGAAGCTGGTGTTTTTGCAACCGTGCATTCAAATTCAGTTCAGAGCTGAATACATCAAAATAGAGAGAAAACCTCATCCAAGCACACTTTTCCCTGTTGGAAACATGATTATTTTATCATGTTAGTTACGGTCTCTATCATTAAGTTTTGAATTGTATATTGAGTTAAAATGCATGATAACAAAATCACCTTATGTGTCTATGTGATATGTGCATTGAACTGCGATATTTTTTTGTAGTAAAAATGCCTTACCAAGACGTTTGCTGAGCTGTTTGGATAATCGCTCACAAGATAGCACCATCAGGTTTGCTAGCTGCTATGGCTGTGTGCCCATTTCTTGGTTTGGTTTGCATAATTACTCTGAGAGTAGAAGCAGAATGTGAGGACAAGCTGTGCTGAGTTGATGATGGGTCCTATTAGACTTGAAACCTTGTCTGCAGCTTCCTGCCTGGCTGGTCGCAATTACTGTCGCACCAACCAACAGAATCTAGAAGGGAAAAATCATGTTTGGATGAGTTTTTCCCCTCCGTTCTGAGGTTTCTAGTTATATCCTAAATTATAACGCTTGACAGCAAAATCACAACATAAGATTATCTAACAAATTTTAGAATAGAAACGACTGTCCTTGTTTTACTATTTGCTTAACTGCACTTTACTTTAAGGTATATAGTAGCAAATTTATTTCATGTCACTTAAGTTCGGACCATTCACCAGTAGCATTAGAAACACCTCAGAATTTTTCATGTGAGTTGACTTGATTTCGTGATCTCCAAAAATAAAATCCATCATGAGAGTTTAAGGATAAGTTCATCGGAAGGAAGAGAATATTAAGCTTAGAAATGGATTAAGACCAAACTGAATAGAAATTTTTGAAGGAGAGGTTTACTATGAGGCAGAAGATAGGATACAATTTTGAAGAGCATCTCTATTTCTTTTCTTTTTTTTCGGGAAATCATTCTGTTTGCTATTTTTATGCATCACTGCATCATATACAACAGAATCAAATCTTCCTCCAACTGCAGTTACTATGATCTATGGAAAAAGGGATTCCATTTAATGCGGCAAAAAAGTAGAATTCAGATATTGATGCCACGGCAAAGAGGGGTATTTGACAGGTGTTTTGGTATGAAACAAATAACCATTATATCAAACTGAAGTTATCATGGTATGAAGTTTCAAAGATACTGAATTCATCAGTCTCTCTAATGCTGTCTACTGCAGAAAAAAAATTTCAGAGCTCTGTTAGCGTGTCAAATTTTCTATCTTCACTCTATTACTTTCCAATTTGAGCTAAGTTCTAAGACAGTTTCCGAAGCACTTTTTATACTCACAAATCAAATTCAGGCTCTAGTTAATTTTCTTATCCAGTTGAAGGTTTGCAAAGACAGTAATAATATCAATCTTAAGAATGTAAATTTTATTTCTAAATGTGAAGTGATGAAGGTGCTGTAAGAATTTCAGCTTAAAAATATTTTTCTAAAGGTAGACTATGTGACTTGTTGACCATTTTGACTTGTTTTAACAAAAATGTATTCTGGAATTTGTCACTGATAATCTACGGTATTATTGTTGCAGGTTAACCAAATATCCCCTTCTATTCGAAAATCTAGCAAAATACACAAGAATGGAGCGAAGTGAAGAAGAAATGCGGATGGTCCTGCGTGCTTTAGAAAGGAGTAAAGAAATTTTAAATTATGTTAATCAGGCTGTCAGAGAAGCAGAGGATCAACATCGGTTAGCAGATATACAGAGAAAACTGGATAAAACGTCATTCGATAAAGCCGACCATCCAATGGTTGCAGAATTCAAGGTATCCCATTTCTGTCGTACTTCATCTATTAGTGACTACTCTGAGGGCAGTAACCTCAAAATGAGCTATTTGGCTGCTCTGCGCCATTTCATTAACTTATGCATGGTGCAGCACTTGTCACTGACCATTCCTGAGTTTACATGCTGTCTTCTTAATTCTACCGCAACTCATAAGGTCAAGACAACATGCAATTTTATAGCTCCCAATGTGTATATTGCTCCTGTCTAAATGGGACAGCCATGAAGTTTTCCATGACATGGAAGGTTAAGTTCAAATGTGCTGCCCTATCTGGATTGATACTAATTGCAGAATGGGGGCCAAAAATTGTTATAATGATTCTTCCTCGGGTGATTGAATATTCTGTGTTTTACTGACTCATCCAGCTGCAAAAAAATCCTCGGAGCCCATCGCTTAACAATCGTTGAACCTGTGGGACTCTTATGGTTTTAGGGCATAGAGTAAGAGCCACAAGGAAGGCAACTGTCTTACTCTCCTGTAAACTTTTGCGTGGTCACTTTTCTGAGCATAGTTGCTTATAGCATGGAGCTTGAAACTGAACTCAAACAAATGAGAGTGGTATGGGTGCAGAATATCTATGATCACCGATTTTGAGAAATGGCTTGCTTCAGTGATGATTGCCTGACACTCTGTGTAGGATGATGTGTCGTAAGTGGCCTAATAGATATATGTAAAGTATGATACAATTGCGCTACAGATGAAAAAGAGCCAAAAATAGTGGTTTGGTAGTCGCCACGTTTGTCTATAATTATTTTTTCCGTCTGCTGGCTTGCTGGGGATGGCATGAGTCGCATCTGGAAGTATATTACTGGGCCTTATGAGACAGCATTGCGGTGAAAATGTTGAAGACTGATTTAGATTGCTTGCAACAACTGCTGCTGAGAATCTGAATAAGTTTTAATTTATATCTACTTGTTGTTGACATACGTAAGAGCGCTGAATGTACATGAAGAAAATGTTTAAAGTATAAGTTTACCAAAATTGAAAAAATTCATATTTTGCAGTAAGTTGTGGTATTCTTCAGTCAATGAGAAGTTTATTCGACAAACCAGCCTCTGCTTTTTATTTTTGCCAATATTGTTATTCTCTTAGTATCCAAAACAATAAGTCCCTTCAAACTCAAATTTGAAAATCTTGAAAATCTCTCTCAAAGCTTATATTAGGTTTAGAATAGTTTAAAAAAAAGCTTGATTGACTTTGGCCTGGACCTAAGAAACCACATTCGTAGAGTTCCATGAATTCCTGTATAGTGTTGAACCAAAACTAACGGAAATGCACCAAGTCGCATCAAGTGTGAACTGAGAAGAGAAGGTTTGAGGTTTAATTCTTCTAAAAGACTCAATTTTAAGGGCAACTTTTAACAACTATTTCAATGTTTAAAATGTCATTTCTTTGAATATTCGAAAAGAAAAAATTCACGATTAGTTGAATTTACAACCACTCATAACTTATTTTTTTCTCCCCCCTAAATGTGACTTAGTGCGTTTTTGTTTGTTTTTGCTCCATCCATTTAGTTGCTTCTCTTTCTTGAGCATCAAATTTTAAACTAATATTCATTGTCTGAAATAGAGGGGAAACGTCAAATGTGAAGTCTTCCTTCATTTGTTTCTAGTTTATTTCTTTATTTGTTGTCTTGTCTAATTTTCTGAGTCTAATTTTACCTTTTTGATTATTTTTACAGTCATTAGATTTAACAAAACACCGACTGATCCACGAAGGTGTTCTGAACTGGCGAATAGGTGGGAATAGACAAAAAGTGATAGAATTACATGTCGTACTCCTAGAAGATATGATAATTTTGCTTCAGCGGCAAGATGAAAAATTCGTGCTGAAATTCCACAACACTAACAGTGGTGGTTACCTTAGTCCTGTTATTAAAGTTTCTCATGTTCTTGTCAGGCATAATGCCGTTGGTAAGTTTCTTTTTCGCTTCATTGGTTGCTTTTAGCTCTTTATCTCTTTTTTCCTCTGGTCGGTAACTTTTCTAACCGAAGATTTCTTAGGTAGAAAATATTTTTAATGTGATAAAAGTTATAGGTAAATCTTTGCGGCAGGGGTTGAGAAAATTCATGTAGGTTACAAATGTCATGTGCTTGGTAATTATCTGAGGATGTGTTACCATCACATTTAGATATGGTATTTAGTATCCACCAGGTGACAATTGAGGAGCTTTCCGGAAAAAGGGCTCGTAGCAAAAAATCGCGTTTGAGAAAAATGCATTTTAAGTTTCCATCATTACTTTCTGACCACTGATGGTAACTTACAGCGCAGCTTGGACTCCTGATTTTGAACACAAGTCACAGTCAATGGCTGTAGAGTAATGATGGAAATTTCAAATGTATTTCTCTCAAACACAATTTTTCGCTATGTGCCCTTTTTCCGGAGAGCTCCTCAATTTCAGGCAAGCTAAAACTTTTTTGTTTTAAAACAAAGTTAAAAATCTCTGGGTTTGTGTCTAAAGAGATTCTTTTGAAAGTTGACCAAAAATCGTCAGTGGAGAAAGAAAAAAAAAAACATTTGAAGGAATAACAAAATTGATAGCCTAGAACGAAGCACAGTTATTTTATCACTTTTGACTCCTCTTGGAATCGTTCTAGATGGAATTTGGATCAATTGATTTTTTGAGTAATTAATTAAAATCTATTCTCAGGAGTCTTTGGGATCGGGAATTCGTTTTATGACTAAGTAAAAGACAATTAGACCATTTCCTTTATTTTTACTACATTATTCTAAAAAATTTGGCCACAAGTCTCACAGCTCACAGTAAAGTTTTAAAATGTTTATACTAACTGTATCCCGCAGAAAAATTGATTGAAAAACACACAAATTGGGGTAGTGAAAAGAAATAGTTAAACTGCTTGCTCAAATTCACTGACAAATCATATTTTGAGCATGATCGTGGCTGAATTCGTAGCAGAAAAATAAATGATGGAGTGCATATGATCAATTAAAAATTTGAAACTAAGCGTGTTGAGCTGAGGTAAAATATCGTAAAAACCTAACAAGTTAATCCCTCCCATGTTTAGTGATTCATCAAGTTGAAATAAATGTATCAAAGCAAAGATTTTTTTTTTTTTGGTACCTATCTCTCGTGTTTCTGACCAAAGTTTTTTCTCCTCTTTTTCAGACAAAAAAGCTTTATATTTAGTTAATACCTCTCACAATAATGCTCAGATATATGATCTCGTCGCTTCATCTTCCTCAGAGCGGAAAACGTAAGTTATTTCAAAGTTTCCTTGCTTTTATCATCGTTCATTTGAGCTTCAATCTACTGAAAATTTGCATGCACAGACTCCATAAGAAGGTTGAAGATCGGAGGAAAAATTGATTTTTATCATTGCATAGTAAAATTAAAGAAGTTTCAACATCGAAAGGAAATGACAAAAACTGGTAATTTGTAATATGGTGGCAGCTTGGAACAAAACCCAATCTTTTCCTCTCAACTTTTCCCTATAAAGTTTGATGTTAAAAGTCGGCAGTCTCCGTCGGAAAAAAGGAGATAACCGGAGGAAAATTGAATCAGAAATATCTTTCAAGATCTGGTACTTTTACTCCTATATCCTCTCATTTTTTCTTGTGTACATAGAATTTAGTCAAATTGGAATTGCCAAAGAATGATTAATCATTCATTTTTGGAATACAGAAGGAAACCTAATAATTCAACAAAATAAACTTGTAATATCAGCTAAACATCCTATGGTGCTCTAATGAAGGTTCCTAATCAGCTCATTTTTACCAAAGTTCAAAACTAAGTACCCCTCTTGAATAATTATCCAGTAATTGTTGATTGCCCTCAAGATCAAGACTGTAACATTACAAATTCAAGAAAATTTTACTCTTTTACTCCTTGCTCTGTGACCAATTTTCTAATGATTGGTGCTCAATTGCATGCTCTTACTTATTTTATTACGTGTAACATTGATCTATAATTTTAAGGTTTGACATTTTCTTTCTCGAGTAACATAGTGATGTAACATAAAACTTGTTCTTTGAATGATCTTATAAATTTCACGTCTAGCCAATCGGTGATAAATTCCAAAAAATTGATTATTTCTAAAGCAACATAGCGTGTGGTTTTCGTTCTTTCTGCTTGAACAATCTAGCGTGTTTAAGTTCCGCGTTAAATCTAAAACCATAATGAGCAATTTTACAATAGAAGTATCGGTCTTAAAATTTTTAAAATATCCTACGGTACTTAATTTTCTTTGTTCCTCTCTGAACATAATCAGGAGAAATTATTGTCCTAAAAACATTCATTTACTCTTCTATTTTATTTTATTCTTTTGCTACCTTAAGCAATAACCATGGTACTTGTACTCCATTTCATGGAGTTCCATCATCAACTTCCTGAAGAACTTCCAAATCGGTTCAGACTGGGTGCTACTACTTGCGGTTTTATTCGAGTTCTTGTACAACAATTTTTCTTGACATTGAATTTGGTGTTTTTCATGTTCTGTCAAAGGACATTATAGAATCATACAACTCAAGCAGAATTGTACAAATGAGTTAAATGTCATGCTTTCTCCTTTCTTTCTCTCTCTATTTCCATCCTACAATAAAACGTGATAGAAACGTGACTGGATTTTTGCCCGACACCTGGCACTTATGATTATTTATGTGACACCCACAAAATTTGTCCCTCTTTTCATTTTTTCTCTTCCTCCTTTCTCTTTTTGTTTCTTTCTGACTTTTCCATAACATTGATTCAAGCATTTTGGAACGTCTAACATCTTTTCGTCCAATCAGTCCCACGTTTTTTTACATGTTTACTAAATACTCTGCCTCTGCCTACAGACACATTTTGAATTGTCGGTTGCGTATAATTTATTTTTAAGTACTTTATCAAATCTTTTAAACTTGTCACTAGGAAGCCACTTTATTTTCTGCTGTGAACTAAACCTTGAAGATTTTCATTCAATTACGCATTGGTTTTCCTTTTCTCTCCATCAGGAGTTCTTGGTCCTAAATTTCCTATTACTTAGTGGGTTCTATTTTTCCTTCTATTTTTTTTAGTAACTCTATTTTAACATTTCTGTTGAGACAAACAGTTTTTGAATGATAGGCTGGCAGAACGTGGCCTTGTAACTCCAGTTCTGAAGATCTCTGGTGTTACTGCCGCACATAATGCCTCAGAAAAATGAATGGTGATAGGAAAAGAGCGATTCGCTGCAAAAATATATATATTAAAGGTGTTTTTGAACACATCTCAGAAGTTGGAATTTCGAAATTTTTATCCTGTCTCGATCTTAGTAGCCATGAAAGCTTGAAACTTGCAGACCAGTCAGTAAGCAGAACGGTTTCTCTTTTCTGAAATGATTGAGATGGCAGTACTTGTCTCGTATAGATATTTTAAGGGTAACAGCCCCTCTTAACGGCTATTGCCCCCTCCCCCCCCCTCCTCCAAGAAGTCGTGATAATATGTAGATGCTCCATACCAACAGGCCCCCATGAGCTTGTAAATGTTCAGACCTTTGGTACCTACCTCAAAATCTTTCTGCCCACGTTCATGCCTTCGTGTCCCCAGCTTTGCCCCATCGCAACCCAGACATTCAAACTTTTTTGAAATATTTCCTTAAGTATAGCTCGATTTTAGAGGTTCTCTTTGACTTTCACTCTTCACTTTTTTCGTGTACATACACTGAAAAAAAAAACTCCGGCCGTGGGAGCCGCAATTACGGGCTGTATAGACATACCGTCCGTTCCGGACTCAAAGGCCGAAAATTCCGGCTGCTGGAGCCGTAACTTCGGCCTCTGAACCTGGAGCAGTCGAAGCTACGCCTCCAGCAGCCGGAATTTTCGGCCTTTGAGCCCGGAACGGACGGTATGTCTATATAGCCCGTAATTGCGGCTCCCACGGCCGGAGTTTTTTTTCAGTGTAGGAAAATTTCCCTTTTCATTATTCCTGATATTCCTCATCTTGCGGGATGACGAACGGTTTTGACTTTGGTGTGGTCGAACGATGCCGTTGAAATGGCAGAAGATCGGTTCAGCTCCGGCTGTATCCACATGGAACACCGTTGGATTCGCGCCCTTGACCTTGGGGGCACCCCCCGACCCCCCGGGGGCGTCCCCGGCCGGCGCCGGCAGCCCCATCTGCGTCAGTACCGCGTGTTGGAGCACATAGCGCGCGACTCCCACCAAGTGACACGTGAATCAGCTCTGCCCCCCCCCCTTTCCCCACCCGCTGCTTTTTTAGTTTTGATCCGACGATTAAGCGATTAACAAACCGCAGCGAGTAAATCATGAAGTTATTTTTCTTTCTCTCCGTGCGAATCATTTTTCACAGCTTTATTTCTGCGACTACGAGGGTGCGAAGTGGCGCCTGGCGCCACTCCCGAAAAATTCGGGATGTGTAGGAATAGGGGAGGGGTAGGGCGTGACGAATTTTTTGATTTTTAAATCCAGTCTCTCTTGATTTTAGTTTTCCATCGGACTTTTTTCGGGCATACTGCTAGGAACATACGTATCCGATAGTCCTCCTGCTCCTGTGTTTCCCTCTCGGATGATTAATGCGAATTAAAGACTGTATTTTGTTTTATCAGTCTGGAAAAGGTACGGATATGTCCAGGCATGTGGCAAGATATGCCAAATGGATGATAGAAGCCATATATCTTGGTTTGGAACATTTCACATTGTTTTAAAGGATAATTCGACATCGCCTTTTTGATCGAAATTGTGTGATTTTTTTTTGTTGCCTTCCGAATTTCCTTCAAAGATTTCATGCAGCACTTTCCAGCCTCCAATACTTTGAAAATTTACAAAGTATCGGAAATTTTGAGAATCCGCAACCGAGATCCGTTTTTTGTAGTTTTGACTGGGAAATATGATTGGAACGCACTATTACGAGTTGTCCTAAAATTCGAAATTTCATATCGGGACATTATTTCCAAACGTGAGGAAGCAAGTCATTTCTTTCTCATAAGTAACTCTCTCGTGAATGACTTGACCCCATGACGTCTCAGATTCCTAGTGAAAATACAGGAAGTAGTTGGATTTTGCGGCCATTTTGCACGTCATCAGATGACGTCACCAGGAACGGCACTATTAATTTTCAGCTTTGTAGAAAACGGCACGAGTTACGTCAAAAAGGAGCGAAGCTTTAGATCAGATGAGCCGAATGGCGAGTGTTTAGCAAAAGAGGACCAGATTTCTCGGAATACAAGAAGTTTGCCCGTTGAACACGGTTGGCAGAACTCCATGTATAATATCATAAAGAACGCCTAGAGTGTCAACATTTTAATTTCTGAGATTTATTGGTTATATTTTTTCTCGTAGTTACAAATGAGGAAATTAAATTTAGTTGAGGAATAATTATTTATTTTTCACTTGTTGCTTTAACTGATTCCTCTCTGTTTGCTGGAAAATGAACGAAATTAGGGTCAGGAGAGAACCAAGTGATCAGTTGGTTCCTGCGTGATTGCTTGAGAGTGGAACTATTGCACATGAGAAAAAAACAAAAGGAACTTTGTTTTTACGGTCTCTTACAGAAAGTTTTGCCAACTAACTTGTTAGCAGACCCCTTGCTTAAAGGTTTCCTTTAAGGTCTTCAGTCTAATAATGCGGTCCCTAACCGTAGGAATACGTCATAAAACTTGTCGCAAGTGCCAAAACGCCTTAAATTGCGTGCGTATGCAACACGGACATCCGGAGAGCCCGAATAAATGCATCCAGGCGCTACAATGATATTCGTTTAGTGTTCGTCGCATGTGATACCTTTCGATCACATTTAGCAGTTTAACTAATTTTCTCCGTATCCATTTTCCAGTCCTGTTTACTTGTACACTACATCGCACCGCACAATGATGTAGTTCGTTTTAGCTCTTTACTGGGGAAAAAAAAAATCAATCGGATGAGTTGAACGTTTGGTGTTCTATATCTTTCGGACGATGCGGTTTATTAAGAAAATCTTCCAATCGGTCAAATTCACACTAAACCATACTGATGAAAGACGTTTGGTGACGAGAATCGAACGTTTGATGCCACGAACCGGAAAGTCGCTGTGACAAACCGAATAATTTGACCGATATGGCACACTGGACGTCCAGCTCCTACGATCGAACTAATCGGACTTCATTTTGCAATTCGGAACTACAATTTCTGGCCTATCTGCAAACACATTTATGTGCATTAGGAACCTCGAGGATTGAGACGCCTTCAATTCGAGTGATACTTCCTGATTTGCCGTTGAGTTAGTTTAGTTGCGTGACCTAACTTA